ATATAATATATGATACAACATTACAACCATATGTATCCATAATAAAATATAACATATTAAGGGGATTCAATTCCGACCGTTTTTAAGGAGATCAATATAGGMAATATCCTAAATTAATGCGTATACGTACTGCGTTGTAAGTAATCATTATTATTTATTAATGTGCAATAAAATTATTTGAGAGCTCACAAAGTAGTTACACAAAAATTACAAAAAACATGCACATACACGAATATTATTTTAATATTTTTGTTTGTGATTTAAGGTAGGTCTCAACCTTTTACCAATGATTGTAACCTGTATAAATATAATTTTCCTATTTAAATTGTAATGATATTTTTTGAAAAATTATTCTTTTGTCACACGATATCTTTGAAACCGACTTCTTATCCTTTCGCATCCTCCGACACAATTAAATTTAYACACCCCCAAAAATCCGATTTTGATAGATTTAACRTGTGTAACGTGTTTAACTTTAAAAAAGTTTAAATAAAACTCAAGAAAAATTCGCGTTCGTCTACGCTATTTCAGAATTTTTATCTGATTACTAGGTTAGTCTGTATAATTGGCACGAGATATGTCTATTTTAGTGGAAAACACAATTGAAATTTTATGCCCTAATATTCGGTTACAATAGTACCTAAGGATAGTATGCTTCGTTTACTTACCGTGTGGATCTAAGCAACAACATGCATCGTGCAACAATTTGTCAGAGCAGTAACTGTATACACTGGAATCGCAATACGGACAGCCATTCGGTCGTCGTTTCATGTTTAATCTACCGTTTTCCGGCGGTACATCACTTGGTTCTTCGTTATTCTCTCCTGCCTCCGATACTTCAGGTGCTTCGGCTTCAATCGATTGGACTTCCTCTGCTTTGTTCGCCATTTTTTTGTCTAACGGAAATTAGATATTTTTTAAAGCATGAACACAACCAGTGAGAGGATATGCCTTTGGGGACTTAGCCCCCCCATAACAAATTATTTAATTGTTTCTTATAATATAGATAATAAAAAAATTTGAAATT